GGTCTCATTAGTCTTTGCAAATGTTTTATCTTTATCTGTTTAAAGGATGAGAAGGAGGTGGGCTGACACATGCGTATACTTTTATATTTTTTCTTGTGCTGCAGCACCAGTGACAGTATTGAGATACTCGCTTAGTAATAGGTAAATAATGACACCAACAACGCATCGCTTTCCCCCCTCTCATACCTGTGTGCATTCAAGGTGCAGATGTAAATAAAGTTCACTGTACTTAATAGCATCTAGCCAGCGCTACAAACGAAGAGTGCACAGAAATGGACTAGTACTTCTTTTTTTTCTTTTTTTTTTTTGTGGTTGGTAATTTTAAATGTAGCTCCACAAACATCAAACACACAAACCGTTTCTGTGAAATCTTTCACAAAATGTGTCTGCTACATGAATGAACAGTTAGTGCATTTCCCAGGGAGGGAAAAAACCTAAATGCATGATGGAAAAAGATGTAAGAAAGAGAGAGGGCAGATGAGAGATCATTTTAATATAACTGCTCTGCAGATGAAATTTAAATCTTATATGTAATGTCCTAATTCATTTTAGAGTTTTTAAATCAACAAACTGTGAGTATACCAATTTTGTTTTATTCCCAGTTTTCATGAAACTACTGTGCAGTTTAGTCTAGTCTAAACTGGTTAGTTTGTTGTGAACATTACAGTGATGTTGCACTGCTGTAGAGCGGCTGTGGTGTTCATGGTTAAAGTTAGTTAACATCAAATTAAATTCACTTGCTCAATTCTACATTTCATACAAGCTTTAATAGGTTTAGAAAAATCAGCTATCGAGTCATTTGCTTATATCTTACTGAATTTAACTGACTAAATCTCCCAAGAGCAGTGATTTTCTGAGAAGCAGCGCTGGTCACAGCCTGCACACAAAGAAATCCCTTATGTCGCTCACAAAACAAGTTACTGTGTGAAGCATTTCTAAGCGATACTTTTCCCCACATTACACTACTACGCTCCATCTTAGGGTTCTCCCACCTGCCAAATCCCACTTCGACCCCTGCATGGACTACAGCAGCATTAAGCTACGGTAACATTATATTATATAATATATATCTTCTGTAAAGTCTACTCAGACAGAAACCCTCTTCAGAGATGTTATATGACTTGCCCCATAAACACACAAGGGGGTGTGTATGTGTGCGTGTGTATTATAGGGGCAAATGCAAACTTCAATCTTGTGCCACACTGAAAGTGACACATGAGTATTGCTAGATATGACCTGCAAATATTTCCATCACAGATTTCATGACAAAGTAATGAGAGTGCTTATTTAGACATGAAACTGATATGATCACATGTCCTCAGATTAATGGAAAGGAGTGTTTGTAGAGGAGGTGTATTCAGGAACATGCATTCCCACGATGATGCACACAGACTCAGAATGTAGAAACAGTACCTGTTTTGCTGCTACTACCACACTGTGACTAAAGTGACAGAGTAAGCTGAGGAGTCTTTGTGACTACAGCTCTTTTAATACTTTAACCAACAATGAATCCTCTTTTGTGACTTCCCACATAATATGATGAAGAGCTGACATTTTCTATTAAAAAAATAAAAATAAAATGTCAAATCTCGGCAGACTTGCAAGTAAACTGTACCTTCAGAGACTGGTGGAGGTGTAAAACTGCAAGGAGGTGCTTTTAAACGCTGTAATGTTCTTAATTTGTGTTCCTCCACTTATTGAATTTGTTATCTGCATCTGTAATAAGGCGATATCTGCACTCTGTGTTTAACTGATGGATATGAAATTTGAATTTCAGATACTCTGAATGGTTTTGTGAAATTTTGTGTTTTGGAAAAAGAGTTAAGTTTTCATGAAAATAAAGACTAGCGTTAATGGAGCCATTGTGCTGTTGGGCTTTAAGTCAGCTTTAATGTGTGATCTCTAAATGTCCGGTCAACTTTTTAATATTCATCAAAGGCTGATCTCTGCAGCAGAACGCCTATAACACCCACCTATATAATCAAACCACTTCAGACAGTAAATCAATTACCATCAAGGGCCCTATGAATTTCTTTTTCTTTTTTTTTTCCACAGGCGCATTAACCACTTTATTTTCTACTGAAAAAGGTGATGAAGAGTTGGCCAGGCCAGGCAGATGAAAGGCAATGGAAGACTATCAATACACAGAAATACAATGGAAAATTACAGGTGCTAAGCAAGCATGGGAAGAAAACTTATACACGAGATACAGACGGTATGTGAACAGTGCAGCTTGGGTTACATGACTAAATCAACAGTGCCTGCTGTTTTCATTAGGTCATGGTCATAGACTCCCTATAGAGATCTCCGTGTGCTACCGTCAACCTAAAGCGCACACACACAATAAAAACAGATGAACTGGGACAAACACAGAAAAGACTAGAAGGAAGGTGTGGGAAAGAAGATGAGTTAGGACATCCTGCTAACCATGAGAAAAACAAACAAACCCCAAAACAGTTATCACAACTTCTAAAATGTGGAAAAAATTTAACAAATTCCAGATTTCATGTGTTTTACACTAAGAAAATTCTGGATTAGCACGCAGCTGATGTGTGAAAGCTTTTTTTTCTCCATATAGACACTAGAGAGGTGGGAATCAGCAGACGGCCCACAATATGGTATTTTCACAATACTTCACTCATGATGCGATATTGTTACGATTTTTAACATTTTGCAATATGCTGTGCAATAACAAATCAGAGTTTATCACCTTATGATGCAATCTGTTTCTCATAAAACAACAGTTAAGTGTGATGAAGACAAGAATTCACATTTAAATTCACACTTGCTATAAGGCGACCCTGCAGTCCCTCTTGTTCACAAAATTCACAGAGTACTTGAATTTATGTAATAAAGCATCAATATTTGGGTCTCTATATCAATAAAATATCGGCATGCAAAGTATCACTATACTATGCTATATCGATTTTTTTGTGGATGGCAATTAACGTGAATTATTACACTGAACAAAAAAGAAGATGCGCACAGAACACAAAGAAATCAAAGAGGAGAGTTCGCAGAAGAGACATTAAGGAGAAAGAGATTCATGCTGGTGCAAACCACAGGATCCCTCTGTGGAAGCAAACAATAGCTGCAAACCGATACTTTTAACTGTGATGGGCATGTGATGCACTCGCAGTGTGCAGATGCCCCCGTGACTTATGTGGTGAGACAATATCCATGGTTTGAAGGCAGCATGTTACAGCTAACAGCAACGCTGTATTAATAATAATACATGAGGAGGCATTTGTAGAGTTTTGTTGACTGCCAAATTGGGGAGTCTGCACATCTTTGCGCCTCATCTTCAGCATGAGAATATATGAATGTCAAAGTTTGTAAAGGACAATGCCAGCATTATGGGAATAATCTGAAATGCATCACGCAGATAATCTTGTAGTTTCCTAGTGAGGACACTTGGTACATGCTCTCTCTGCTTTAGGCCCCTGCATACAAAAACTGGTCTAAAATGACCCCACTTTGTCTCCATTAAAACATAATGACTGTGACAGTAAAAAAGCCATTTTTCATTTGGACAAAGGCACCAACATTATATTAGAGATATTAGAGAAATTCAGAACATAAAGGGCAAACTGTACATGCAATCTATATTCTTCAAAAAAATATGCTGTGGGTGCATGTGTTTGTTTCAGGTTTAAAATCAATAATGCTGCAGGCCAGATGTTTATGCTGATGAAAATCAATACCCCTTTTTCCTACAGCTTTGATATCAGCTGGGAGGATGTATGCTACAAAGTGTGACAGCAGTCAATGTATGCGTAATTACTAAAAACATGTGAGGGCATTGCTGATCAAACAAGTGTGTGCTTTCTGAAGAGACAGACTTGGGCTTGATTTCCATCATGACTGTAAAATAGATGACAAGAAATTTAGCAGTCAATTCCAAAAGCGTTAGGATGCTTTGAAGTAACGATGGGCAGAGGTTCAACAATCTGCAAAAAAAAGTGCATTTACAAATTGTGGAACGATTTCAGAATAATGTTCCTCAACATAAAATTTCAAAGACTTTGGGTGTCTTATCATTTACGCTTTATAATATAAAGGCTGAAAGTCAATATTGGATGCCTGTGATCTCTAGCACTGCGTTAACAACAGGCATGATTCTGTCATGGAAAGTGCATGGACTCAGTGCCATTCACAAATGCAGGTTAAAGCTCTATCAGACAAAGAAGATGCAAGCATGAGATGAAAGCATGCATAAATGCTGCCATCTTTGCTGAGTAACATCTCATTTAAAATCAACCATGGTAAAATGACTAAAGATGGCTAAAAGATGGACGCCGCACAATCTGGACTAAAGAGGAGAGGGACAGTCGGGCTTGTTATCAGCCCTACAGTTTTGGCAGATTACACATCTGGAAAGGAACCATGAATACAGGTATACATACAGGTTTTAGAGCAACATATGTTTCCATCAAGATGATGTCTTTTTCATGACACTATACTAAACTGCATCCTGTGTCTATTGCAACATCTGGATGCTCCACTGGCCTAAGTGTAGTCCAGACTTTCACCGACTGAAAACATTGGGAGCATTGCAAAAAGAAAAACATCACAAGAAAGATTCAGGACTGTTGAGCAGCCAGAATCTTATATGAGACAAGATAGAGACAGTCATTTTCTTCCACCAGTCCAGCAGCTGCTCTCCTCAGTTCCCAGATGTTTACAGACGGTTGTTAAAAGAACAGCAGATGCTACACAGTGAAAACCACGGCCCTGCCCCAACTTTTTTGAGACATCAAAGTCAAAAAGAGACAATATTTTTCTTAGAATGGTGCATTTGATGTGTTCTATTATAAGTAAAATAACTGCATTCAGTTTATATTTATGTTTTACACAGTGTCCCCACTTTTATGGAATTGGGGTTACACGTTACATTATTCCCAACTGGAATACAACAGACTGACTGCACTGTAACATGAAAAGTGTGCCGCGTGTTTAACTATGTGCTTCTTCCTTCACCATTTCCACCACACACTTACCCGCGGCGCACTGCTCCTCATCTGCCCCGTTCTCGCAGTCCCTCTCTCCGTCGCATCGCCATGACAATGAAACACATTTGCTGGCAGCCCCTCCGCAATCAAACTTCTCTGGAGGACAGGTCTGTCGGCCTGTGGTTGCAGGGCAAGGGTGAAAGACAGCAAAGGAGAAAAGGCGGAGGGTGGGGGGTGGGAAGAAGAGGAATGAGTGGAAGAAAATTGGCGTAAAAAGGGGGGGGGGAGAATGAAGTCAGGGAGAGTAAGATGGGACAAGAAAGGGAAGGAGGCAAAAAGATGGAGAGAGAAAAGAGAGCCAGTCAATGAAGCAGTTTGATAACTTAGTTATCTTCTCTCTCAAATCGATCCCTCTTCAAAGGTCTGCAATTAAATTAGACACACAGCTACAGTGGAACAAAGGAGTGGGAACACTGTCACACAAGACACAGAGCTGGGGGAAAAACATTGTAGACAAACAAACAAAGAAAGAAACAGAAGGAAGCCAAACAAGAAAAAAGTGCCCAAGTCTGTGTGTGAACAACTGTTTCAACCAGGGCTCATTTTTCCATGAATATTTAGCCTTAAGAGCTAGATAACAATGTGCCAATATAAATGTTAAAAAGCCCAAGTCAAGACCCCACAGCTCATTTCCAAATTATTTATAAATGGAGCTACTCAACATCTTTCCAAAATGCGCCTAATTCACCTCTTAGCTTAAACTCGGACACATATCGCAACAAACTGCCGTGAAAAAGGACACTTGGTGTATAGAATACTATATTGGTTGTTATTTTGAGTGTAAATCAGAGAAAGCAAAAGAAGTGGAAAGCTGCACATCGCAGACAGTGAAACACACTCCTTTACACACTGTGTGTGACTGAGAAAGTAGTCCCTCTAGATAAAAGCCTATTACAGTAGTCAAGGCCATTGTTCCTGCTTGTGTAACCCATGAGGTTGCTAGAGGGAGGAGGAGGGAAACACTCCGTTCTAATACATCAAATTTACACAGCCCACAGTCCCTGCAGCAAATCCCCGTGCCTTTTTCCGGCAACCCACTATACACCCTCACCCTGCCTCATTTTCCCCTCACCTCTCTCTTTAATGTCTCTCACTCCCACTCTAACGCCACAGAGACTCGAGTCCCAGATTACATTACAGCACTGTGTCAAACTCAACTCCATCAATTACACACATCTGACCACCAGCATGCTCGCTGGCAACAAGCCTATGTTTGTTGCAGCCGCAGATCAATAGTACCTATGGGATTTGCCCATTCCGGCTTCACTCTCCATTTTATTCTTCTCACATTCCTCCTCCTTGTTTTGATTTTTTTTAAACAACACTCTGATATTCAAACACTGCCCCTGGTGGTGGGACGTTGGGACTAGTTTAGCCAAGAGCAACTGCAAGAATCCTCTCCAGCTGTGCACTTTTGGTTGATGTGATCACCTTTGAAGTCATCCACTTGAATTTTCAGTCTTCTCTAAAACTGGGTTTAAGGTTAGACTTGGGCCCTGGTGCCGGGCTGGATCTTTTGGGTGACCACTTTCCTCTCACCTCCATCTTTCTTCCTCTCCCTGAATATCGAGCTCTTGCGCGAGCATCTTTTCAAACCGTCATCCCCTAAATGAGGTTTCTCCTTCCCTTTAAAGAAATAAAAAGCCTCCTGCAAATCCGCTTTAAAAGACCCAACGAGTAAGCGCCATATCAGCGCAGTGTAGCTATTACTGCCAAAAGGGACTGAATGGTCTGCGTGTACAATAAGAGCGTGTGCGGGTGAGTGCACGTGCCCATGTTCTTGTGCCTTTGATGCAAAGAACGCAGCTCTTCTGGATGATGTGAAGGTGTGAATGTGATGTGGGTTATGTGGAGGTGTCTTAATATGTGAATTGTCTCAGCAATCTAAATGTGCGCCTCAGAGATCTGGTACTATACAGACAATAGTGTTCCTGGCCTCCACATTATCTAGCTTTTCTAAGAGAGTGTGTGTGTATTTTAGTGTGTGTGTGTGTGGCAGTGTAATACTACTGTGGGAGACGAAGTCTCCCACAGTAACATGGAAACATCACCTAAGGGCTTCAGTCCACCAAGTGTCTGACTGACAGTTGGGTTAAAAGGATGTAATTTGTCTGACTGACCATTTCTGGCCCCTGAGAGCCAGAATGGTCGACTCACGGATAAACTGCCAATCACGAGGCTGAATACAGATGAGCAAGGGGGGGGGGGGGGACGAATTAGAGGATTCTCACCCCAAGGGTAATCATTTTCCATAAATACAAAGAAGTACGATTCCTGCTGATGTACAATCAAACAGTAACCTATAACTATTAAAAAGTCAATTCTTCTGCTCTCTATTAGAATTTGATAGACCATAATAACAGTTTCATCCCCACCAATAGCTTCTACATAAGGTCTCTCTATTTGCTGCCTCAGTTACTGTGCAGCCCATTCCCAGACAAAATTGGGTTGTGCAAGCTAAGAAATCTGTTTTTACGCTGCATGCGGAAGCAACAGGAGTTTGTGTGGACTAAGCTGAAGCGGGTAGCACATGGAGCAATTGGCATGATCAACATCGGTCGCCGTGCCTGTACTGGCCAAAATAAGAAAAACAAAAACATGCCTGCTCTATCAAGTCTGCATCTCAGATTGCGTCAACTAAAGGACATGGAAACACGAGCGTGGAACAATCTGATCAGCATGTAATCAAAAGGAAAACAAACATCGTATCATGTATTTTTTAAATCTAGGGTGTATTTTTGTTTTTTCCTTTGCCAGTCCAGATGGTGTTGATAATGAAGTCGCAGTTAAAGTTGCTTTCCCCTGTCTTTCAAAAATTGGTGCTGAGCGCAAATTTGCCCTCTGTCTATCTCTCCTTGTTCCTTCTCTCACTAAATGCTGACAAGGTGGACAAAAGTGGTAAAGCAGGCACTAAAGAGAACTGCAGGACTTCCTGAGGGAGAGATACTGCAGACTCTGATCGTGTTACATGCAGAGTGCAATATCTGACTCCTGCTCCCACCTTCTCAGGAAAAAGATGTACACAAGTTCATAAAAGCATCCTAATGCAAATAAAGACGCACATAACTCTAAACTACAAATGCAGTGTTTGTGGAGACCGCATGTACACCAAAACAGCTGTGAATCATCGCCTCAGCTGCCAGTCAAAGGCATGTAAGTGAATTCACCTTTGTACTGAATGAATATTTCAAGAGCTGTGAAACTGCTGTGGCACAGATATAAACACTTGGCCGTTAGCTCCCAGTTACCTTTGCTTATTGCCAAGGCTTAGAGCAAATAATAGGCGAGGCACTGATACTAGCCATGCTCCAGTGGAGCTGCTTGGTGATGAGCAGTAAGACACTGAGGGCTCAATACAGCAGCTCCCTGGTGGGTGTAGGCATTATCGAATAAGTGTAAAAACGGGTTGGGAAACAAGCATGTACTCTTAGTGAATATAACAGGATACATCAGTGTAAAGGAAACAAACAAGTGCAAATTGGCTGGATGACCAGGTCAGAGCCTTTCCCTCAACTTTCATTTCTGTGACACAAACAAAGCACGCGAGGCTCAACAGATTCAGCCTTGAGCCTCTCTATTCACACCGTAACCCCATTTATATATTTATTCACAGGCCGACTCCGGGTAAGGGGTAATTTTGCTTTGAGAGCATGAGCCTGATTTCATTAATATGGCAGTGCTATTAGAGAATAGCAGGTACTATGAGAAAACACAGGAAATTATGATGAGGGAAAACCAATGTACCCAGTTAAATTCCTTAACAGTCTTGTGTGCATAGAATAAGTTAAAAATTCACTGCTTAGTGTTAGCAATACAGCCTGTGAAGGGATGCAGTAGCGAAATGCTGCAAGCCAAACTAAATTTATGAGTGACCTCCGTGGCTTCCTGTGCAGATTGCATTAATAGAAGCTTGCGCTGCAGTGTGAAAGTGAACTAGGACGAGATAGCTGGCTCCAGGAGGAAAAAAAATATTTACACAGCAGCTCTAGCTTTGTGAATTTATTGGTAGGAAGCATATTATCACATGAGAAAATATTCAATGAATGTTGGACTTATTAGGATAGACTGGGATTTTGATGATTGGAAGAAATGCATTCAGTGTCAACTTTATTTTAACTACATAAATCCACTGTATATTTTAAGGGAAAAATGGCTTTAATCATTTTTAATGTGTTGGTTTAGTATTTTGTACATTCTGGATATGAAATAGGTTTTTGCTCATCCTGGGGTCAGAAAACTCATTTGGCACACAGAACACGATGCAGTCTTTTAATTCAAACACGTCCACAACCAGAAGTAGTACACACTTGTTATTCTCCTCACATGGCCCGTCTAAGTGTCTATTATGAGGAGGGTATAGGGGTGGACGGAGCAAGGAGCTGTATGCTAATGAACTTTTGATGAACTACCTTCTTAATTTCCCTTCACAAGGAGGGAGGGATTGGAGCATTGTGGCGCGGCACCACGTCCACTATACAGCTCCATGCTTAGCATCGAGGCGAGTCTCGTAGTTGATTGATGTAGAACTCCCCAAGCCCCGTAGGCTAATGCTAAGATAATTATTTATTACGAGTTGCGTGTGTGAGGCCAGGTAATAGAAGCCATCCTTAAGTCACTGTCCATCACAATGAGACACAACGTCAAAACAAAAGCCACTTGGGAGAGTATGTGGTAATATGGCACATGATAAATGAGGAGGAACGGAGGCTTGTAGATGATTTACCCTGTATCGACACGAAGCATTGTACCTGCATGAATTTAAAATGCTTTAAGGTACACCGCAGACGGCACAGCATTGATTGATGAGGTACCCCGTTTTAATGTCTTTTTATGCAAAAAACACAGAAGAAACATGACATGTCTCACTACATTGGTGGCATATTATGAATGCCCAGATACTCTGCAATGCTTTGAATGTCAATTGAGTCAGCAAGCAAGCAGTACAAAGCAAAAAACAAAACAAAACTGTGCGCCATATGAAAGGCATTAAGTTCTTTGTAGCCACTTGCTTTTTATTGTGTCACTTTATTTTTCCTGGTCTTTTTTAACTTTAGAGGACACAACATAGTTTGTAGTTCCTTCTGGTACCTATGTTCATCAGAGCTGTGAAAAAAAGA